TGATGAAGCAGTCTTTTAATCTAAGATGTATAAATAAGCATTCATTTGTTTATCTTTTGGTAAGGCTTTTCCTTTGAGTATAGATGGTCAACAAGTGTTCCCTCGAGTTTTTTCTTGCATGAACTACTCCTAACATAAACTCTGATTTTCAGTAAAATGACAACGTTGTTACTTTGAAACAATTTGAATGTAATATGCAACCAGACACTTTCGCAGGTGTCTGAAGTTCCGCCATTAGCATATGTTGCTTTGGCTCCACCCACCTGGTAAATGGGCCCGAGTGAGATGATGATTGTACAGAACACAAGCACAGGGCCCGTGCCTGGGTCATAGTTCATGTTTGGAGCCAAATACTCACACAGCACCCTGCACCATTGTCCAGAGTTCCTTGGTCCAGCTATTTTCTTCCTAGTTAAGGGGTTTTGTTGCTGCTGCTGCTGCTGTTGCTTTAGGGTAGAGGGGTTCAAATATAATATCTTCTCTAGCTGTGTTTTCTTTTCCTCATGTACTTGGCCATTCTGACACCCCGATATAGGAAATCTGCCTTATCTAATATTTTTCTTAGAGATATCCCTCCTAGCAACCTCTGTTCTCTCTCCCTGGATGGGTTGCTCTCTAGGCGTGCAGTACAGTTTTAATCCTGGAAACTGCCCTTCAGTGCCACCCAAGGAGTTGACTCTCCCCTTTCCGTTTTGTGTAGCTTGTGGCCTCCTCTTTCTTGGTTTACTCCCTGGTTTTGACGGAGCCTGTCTCTCAGTAGCTTCCTTAAATATGATGTAAGGGAGGTAAATTTTTGTAGGCTTTGCATGTTTGAAAATGTCCATATTTTTTTAAAAAAATAAGAAAACAAAACAAAACACAAAACAACAATAGTTCTCTGTCCTGTCCCTTTCCATTCTCCCTTCTGACAGCAGTCACTTCTACTCTTCCTACACTTGTTCTGGTAGTTACCCTTCTCATTTCCAAAATAACATGCTATTTTTTGAATCATTCGTTTCAAATATGTCTTTTGGTTCTATATTATGGTAAATGAACACTTAGCTATTTTATATTACCTTTCTCCTCTGTCTTACCCCCACCTCTTCTTTCTAGTAGAGTTATATTATAATTTTTGGTTAACTCTGAATTAAGTATATTATCACATGCATGCTGATATTATTCATAGCTTAGTACTGCAATATTTTATGATTGGTTCCCTTTTTAATGGCCTTGTTTTTCATAGCTTAATTTTCTTTGTTTTATTGCTAGTTTTTCCCACACCTTCCAGTAGCCTGCCATAACTATTTCCACAAAGGCAATCACTTTAGGAAATCTGTCATTCCCCCACTTTATGAAACAATTTATTTGAGAGATGGGAAAGATGAATAATATATGCAGATGTTCCCTTATCTGACTCTGTCAGACAGATAATTAGTGGGTTAATTGAAAGTCAGATAAATCAGGGAATCATTTTTTTGATGAAGCAGTCTTTTAATCTAAGATGTATAAAAATGCATTCATTTGTTTATCTTTTGGTAAGGCTTTTCCTTTGAGTATAGATGGTCAACAAGTGTTCCCTCGAGTTTTTTCTTGCATGAACTAACATAAACTCTGATTTTCAG